TTGTTCTCTTCCTCACAGTAAATCATAAACAAATTTCTTCTTTAATGTTGGCAAAAATTTCATTCTCCTATGCACTTCACTTAATCCAACATAGAATGTATTACATAAAGTAGAAGAGAAGTAGCTGTTTGAAAAAAAAGCTTGCTCAACATATGGAAGATGCCAGTCTTGCTTATGTAGGCGAACAATGTGAACATTGAAATTACAAGGGAATAAGCATCTTGTGTGAAGTTTATATTTATTACTCGCTCTTGATATATTTTATGCTGGAAAATATTTAATTTGAGAAGTTTTCTTTGTCACCACATCTGAGAAGAAGTATTCATCACAAAAGAAGAATGTGTTTTGATGAAAATGCAGAAAAATTTAATTTGAAAATATATAAAAATAATTATTTTAACCACTAGCCTGCAAAATTTTGTATGCACTAAAATTCCTACAAATGATCGAGGGAATTTCCAAATTAATATATCCAATTTTATCTTATGAATTTTTAAATAATACTAACCAAGTAGTATTGCATACCTTAAAAAATGCACTTGATATATATATATTATGAAGTAAATATTAGTTCCATACAGTGTCATTTTACCACATAAGTAATAAATGAATGGAGAGGAACAGGCTGTATCAAACATATAAGAAGTTCTAGCCAACAGAGGAGATTGGGTAACTAACATTATCGTTAAAGTTCAACTTTGCTCAAGATTTACAACATAAATGAAGAATGTGTAGTGTATCAAGAGAATGTGAAAATTAAAATCCAGGAGAATAAACAATATTTCTCTAATTGTAATATTAACTGCCAACAAAAAATATTTTCTCTTTTGCATTGTCAAGTAGTGAGAGTTGTGTACACAATTTTCATTACATTATCATCAAGCACATTAAAAGTGTAAAGAAAACATTTTTTGTGTAATTTTTACCTGCCTCGTGCAAAAATAAATATATTGACTTCTTTCATGTTCTTATAAAGGCTGTGCAAAAGCAAATTTGCAATTTACTTATTAGTAATATTGTTAATTAATACATGCACTTCTATTTATAATACTGAGTTAGAAATAATTATTAAAAATAAAAGAAGAGAAAAGAAGATTTTAATGAAGAAAGCATAATATTTCAAATTATTGCAAATTGAGATTTCATAAAGATTTGTATGAACTACCGGAATTGTATTGAAAATGTCGTACTTTGCATTATCATGGTTTATATCTGCTTTGAACATTCTCAGAGTTGCATTGGAAATCAACCACAAGGGCTTAGAGTTCTATCTCAGCAATAGTTGCCAGTATAACGATTGGCACTGTTCAGCACATCATACTACAATATTTTGTTATCTTCAAAAAGTTGGAGTCAAGATTATGAGAGGGTTACAATTTCTGATTTGAACAAAATCGGGAGTAAAAATCATGTGCAGATTGTGAACAAGACTTTAAATCAGTTACACTGATACTTTACTGCAGATGTTAGGGGAAATACTGATCAGTCTCTTTAGGAAATAAAATAGAATTGAAGACTTGAAAATTTCAATGACCCTGACAGGACATAAGGAAGGTCATGAGCTGAAATGAATAAATTTAATCATTGTGATTTTAATAATTCATGAGATAATTTGCTCTTGAAATTGCGGTGATGTTACAGAAAGGCCATAGCTCCACCACTTTTAGAGATTCATTTCTCCAGTACCAATGTAAATGTATACTCAGTGATCATGCTGAAATGTATTCATAATGGAATACTTCATACTAAAAAATGAGTCAAATTAAAGAAGTTTCCTTTTGTTTCATCTAAAATTTCCCCTCCAAAAAATAAGAAGATGATCTTTTACTGTACAGAAATAGGTGAACTTCATGGAAATATTGATTTCAATTTTTTTTACAATACAGATAAACAATTTAACCACTAACATATTACTTAAAAGAAACTAAAAACAAATGTGAATAAGTAATAATTATTCTTACTAGATTACAAAATGTGTTGTAAGACAGAGATTATAGTGAAAGGAAATTTAGCTTCTCAAAACAAAATTGGGAATTTGCAGGCAATTTTCACTTTGATTATGTTTAAATTTCAGATGTCGGTTGTGCTAGAACTTGCTACCCCTTCCTTAGCCCAATCAGTAGGCTATGAAGCATTGAATGAAAGAATTCAACAATTGAGAAAATGTCCAAAAGCAAGACTTATGTTGGGGCTGTTCAGATACCTGGACTCACGGACTAAGAAGACTGGGAGGGCACTAAGGAGGAAGCTGACTGTCAAATCTGAGAGAGGCTCTGACAGCAATCTTCCAACAGATCTCTTCAGAGAGATGGTTGATCAGCTTATTAAGTGCCAGCGGACACACCCAAGGTTGCACTTTTCGTCTCTTAAAAGTTTGACAGCGTGGAATATTTTGTGGATTACGATTATCTTGTTTCTGGGCATTTTACTTCTTTTAATTATTGGTACACTTACCTGAAGCAAGAATGGCTACCATCGCTCTTAGAGTTTACTTTGATGTATAGTGTATCTTTTATCTAAATAAGTAAAATTAATAACAATAATAATAATAATAATAATAATAATAATAATAATAATAATAATAATAATAGTAATAATAATAATAATAATAATACTATAAATAATAATATTTTAGTTTTTATATTAAAAATAATTATAGAGTAGATTCCCACACTTGAAGTTCTATATACATTGGCATTATAAATACTAATTCTGAAAACAAGTATTGGATTTTAAAATAAGTAATTATAAGTAACATGGTACTTCAATCTAAAAACATTGTACATTGTAATGTACAAGACAAAAATGCATATCTTCTGATGTAATGGGCAAGCCAAAACAATTTATAACATGAAGAAAGAAGTAAAAAAGTTTGTTCTTAAGACCTTGGTATTTAAAAAGGAAAGTCAAAATATTTACATTAAAGGAAAGTCAAAATATTAAACATTATTCATTGTTTATAAATAAGTATAGCAGAACAAAATACATTGAAGTATTGATAATTATATGCCGAAAACATTTCCATGTTTTATTTATTTCAACAACTTATCAATGAACATTCAAAGTTTATCATTTTCAAACCTACATGTGGCACCCAGTATGCATTTATACACATTATTTCATATAAAATGCATCATGTGGTTTCTGAATGTCCCACTAACAGGTAGAAAAATTTCTTTATTTATCAATTTCATATACTATGAACATTTTTGTCTTATTTAACATCAAAGAATGAACTTCTGCTAAATATTAAAAGCTTGAAATTAATACAAAAATGAAAAATTATGAATTTATTACAAAAGCATTGCAAATATATGAAGACATTACTTTTTCACTTTAAAAAAATAATTTTAAAATGTTTGAAATTGGCCTTAAAAGTGTGACATTTATAATGTAAAGAAGTACTTTGCCTGCTAATATTCACCATGAATGGCTTAGGCTGCCAATATTAATCATTCATGAATGCTTTGCCATTGTCTTTGAGATACATTGAACAAAGTGTAATTGTTAATTTAATTGTGCCCCTCTTGACATGTGTGACATTTCAATGGCACTAATAAATGAAGTTAAGCACAATATAAATGTCAAAATTCTTTGAAGATTAAATGAAATTGCAAAGCGTGAGTTAGAATTTTTTCTTATACAATTGATCTAGGATTTACTGCTGCTAAATGGGAGATAATTGATGATTAATTATCATGAAAGTTATTCATATTTTGTATGTATTGCAGAATGAATAAGGGGGATTAAATTTTTTTTTTGAAAACAGAAAATCCTACTGCATTCTTTCATTGAAACTAATTAAATTTTAATAAAAAGAACATTCTTCATGCAAAGTTCTGATATGATTAACTGGAAAGTTTCATTGAAATTTAATTGAATATCATTGAAACTGATATAATATATCTGTAATACTGAAAATGCTAAGTAGAGAATTTGCTTGCTCATCTTGACAATGATTTTTAGGTTCTTATAAAGAATCAAAGCATATGAGCTAGAAATAGTTGGATAATATTATATGGAACTTGGAGATAAAAGAACAGTTTTCACAGAATTTTATTACCTTCAAATGCTAATAGGCTCATCAGGTAACTTGTTACAAAAGACGTCTTTGTAGTGTATATGCAACTAATCACATTTTTAATTTTTTATTAACGGTAATGCCATTTGTATCTTTACTCTTGTCTATATGAATCCAGTGGAAGATTTAATTATTCGCGGAAGATATAAATGTGCATTGTGAGTTAATATCCAACTCGGCTGACATCAATCAGATTTACTTTTTTTAAACATTTCTTTCCGATGAATGAGTTTCTGATAGTACATTTGTAACATGAACATCTTGTAGTATTAAATCTGTTAAAGCTTTATACTCCCGTCTTTACATGGTTTTGAAGTTTCATTTTTGTAGAGTAGGCATTTGATATAATATTTTAACAGCTAGTGATCATAGAAAGTGAAGTCTGATGAACATTATAATTGTAGCAGCTTGTGTTGTGCTGATAAATATTATTTTTGAAGTGTAGCATATACTACAAATATACTTGCAGGAATGTTTTAGAAAAATGAACATACACACTCCTAAGGTGTTAAAATTTAATTTATAAAGCATAATTAAATCATTGTCATAAAGGATATTCATCACAGAAAGATAGTCTGACTGCTTAAATAAGATAGGAAAATCTTTCCTATTGGCACTGCAGTTTGAATTTGGGGATGATGTAAGATGTTCTTGTAAAGAGCAATGGTGTACCAGTTATTTACATTACAAAATAAATGTGAAATTAAATGAACTTTAGTCTGGAAATGCATAGAACATAAAAATACAATTATTTTCTATAGTTGTCAGGTAGGCAGATATGCAGTGACATTTACTTCTTTAACGTTGAGGGGTAGATATTTACAGAAACCATAGGTATATTTGAAAACTGTTTAGTTGTATGCATAATTGTGTGTATTAATTTAATTAGTATATCTTTAATGTGTGTGATCTTTTGCAGATATTGATGAATGTTCTGAAAGGACTCACACTTGCCATGAATCAGCACAATGTGTGAATATAGAAGGAGGTTTTAAGTGTACATGTCCTGATAGTGAAAATCACAACTGTAAATTGAGTGAGTAGAAAATGAAGTGTCTCTTTCTTGCAATACTGCACACATGGCATTTTGAAGATAATATCTCATTAGTATGCATTCATTGTTCTAATAATACTAACATTGTACTAATAAAGACAGATTCATAACTGTATTAATAAATTGTTAGTGTCAGAATGATGTCTTGAGTAAGTTATATCTAATGTCAATTTTACTCCTATTTGGAAATACTTAATACACACCCATATTTCTCGATAAAGGTTAATGCTAATCCATAGCTTTTTATACATACTCAAAGCTATATAGCTGTTGTTAGGAAGTCCTAACACCATCAAGTATTAAAATATTTACTGAGAATTACACTACTTTAGGTGTACTAAGTGGAGTACAACATTGGTAACTTAATATCCTGGTGTGAATTCCTCTCTCTCCCCCTCTAATTTTGAATCAATTGTTACCTGATTTCTCATTGTCATGATTCCTTTTAGGGATTATTTAAGTGAAAAAACAAACAAAAGTTTTTATAAATATTTTTATTTTTAATTTCTGTTATTAAAGAATCTTCATTCAATTAGTACTGATATATCAACTTTTAAACAAAACTACTTTAGTTATTTAATAATCAGTATTTTAATTTTAATCTTTTGAACAACACTCAAGGAACAGAAGTATTTGAGTTGAGGAAAATGTAATTGTTTTATATTTATATTTAATTGAAACTGAAACATTAGTTTATTATTTAATTGCTTTTTACAGATTGTATGTTTGATGGTGACGAAGTCATAAATGGACATATAGTGAGTCCAAAAGGGCATCCATGCAGACAATGTGAATGTCAAGATGGTGTAATATCATGTAAAGAGCCACCTTGTGATTGTTCAGTACAAGGTAGCAATAAGGACAAATGTTGTCCTCAATGTGATCCTTCTGCAGCATGTCGTCATCAAGAGCTAAAAAATGTGGTCTTTCGAAGTGGTGAACGATGGATCTATCAATGCCAAACATGTGAATGCCTGGTAAATAAATACAATTTACAAGCCAATGGTTATCCTTTTGTTATAGAACATATGAATATTAATTACAGATGTTGATTTCATGTTTCCTCATACTATGATCTAAGGTTGGCCAGGATGAGTTTGACTCATAATAGAAAAAATAATTAGAACTTGGTATATCAAATTATTGTCCTTTTGTGAAGCAGAATAGTGTTTTTAATGATTAAATAATTTAATTTTGTATATTTTTTGTGTTCACATGCATTGTGTATTATGGTTACAGTATGGTGAAATTGACTGTTGGCCAATGGAATGCCCACCACTCACTTGCAGCGAACCTGTTCTTACGCCAGGTGATTGCTGTCCACGCTGCAATGATGATCCATGTGCTTTAGATGCAAGTAATAATGGAAGTCTGACAATAAGAGGACAGCCTTGTACATATGCTGGACACCTTTTTGATTCCGGCACACAGTGGAAAGATCCATACGATAAATGTACCGCCTGCAATTGCAAAGTAAGTATTATAATAATCTTTTAGAAGGAATCAAAATGTTCAAATAAAATTATATTTAATTTATATTAACAGGGATAAATCATTCAAAATATCAGCTAGTTGTTTACTGATTACTAAAATATATTTTAATTTCTTCACTAATTTGAATGCACAAAACTAATCGGTATTTTGATTAAGTCATTTTCAAGTTATTGTGCTTGTTCAGTAAATTCTCACATAATTTTTAATACTGTCATCGAATTTTCTATAATAATAGAGGGAATATTACAAAATGTAGGACTTCTCTATTTTTAGAGAAAATGTTTTAAGAGAGGGGAATGTTTATAATGATTAAATTTATTTAATTATTAAAACAGGTAAGTGGTGATCAACAGTGAAGGTGATGTGATAAGAAAATGTTTATTACACATGTATTTTGAAAGTAGTTAGATTTCTAAAGGTGATGAGGGGAAGAAAGGCTTCATCTTGTGTGTTTGGAAGTTGTAGTTTCATGGTTATTTCTTTTTATTCACATTGATATAAATATACATTTTAAAAAAGACACAATTTCCTGAATTTGATTTTAAGAACAATTTGATCTCCAATGACAGTGGTTTTGAGCTATATCCAGTCATTTGAAAGTTTGACATTGAGTGGTACCTATTCCCTATCAAGTAATTAGACCATTTTCTGAATGTAATAACATACATTTATGACCTGATTTTTCTTCATGGAATAAATCAGAAAATTCATTCCTTCAGTTCTGCAGTAGATCTGATTCTAATCTTCTCTTCTGTGTAGGTTTTTTGTAGATAAAAAAAGAATGAAAAAGGAAATCGAGAAATGAAATGTTTTACTTACAATGAAATGTTAGTTATCGTTTTCACACTGTGTCCTGTTGATTGATGTAATTATTCAAAAACAAAAAACAAACAAACAACAACAACAAAAATAGGTTGAATGGATTCTTCTCAGATAGGAAATGAATGTTTTAATCATGATTGTTACTTCTTTCTTCAAATTGTTCAAATTATTAGTCACCCTGAGTGAGAACAGACCTGGCACCTAATTGGATCACAATTACATAGGAAATTAGTTCTGCACAGAAATGTCTTCCATGATGATCCTGCTTTTGTGCGAAAATTCCAATTCAAATTGTTCTAAGCGTTAATCACCCTGACTAGGAATAAAATCCATGTCTCTTGGTTTTTATGTCCATGTCTCCTGCCCAGTTGCTTTGATTACTGAGCTACCCAGATGACAATATTTTGAACGGTTTATTTAGCCAGCTGTATTGTCCATTAATTGATACTCAATGGTGGTGACACTTGAATTTTTTTAGTGTCAAAAATGATAGTTTTCTCAAAATAAAAAATATATAAATAAAAATATATATTTACCTATCTATCTATATATCTCTATATATCTATATCTATATATACCTATATCTATAATAATAGATATATAAAGATATATAGATATATAGATATATACTTGGCTGAGGGTATTCTGAATTATTATCATAATTACTGTAATTATTATTGATTATAGCTATCAATGTTCATTCATTCCACTCTATTAACATTTAAAAGAAATTTTTTAATTTTGCTCTTTTTTGTAGTAATTTTCTAAATTCATAACATAACATTTCATTTTTCACATAATTTCGTAACATTTTATTTTTTCTTCTGATGAACCTTTGAACCTCATCAACATCAGCATTTCTTTCAATCTTTCATGACTGATGTTAGAGAGACAGCATATTACAAATTAATTCGCTAACAATGTCATCACAATGTCAACAATGTCAATGATAATTCTTACATAGATTGAAACATCATAAATTACTTAAAGTTCAGGGTTTCTCTTATTAAAAAATTGAATCAATGTGTTAAACCCGGCAGCACACATGCCTCTTTCTGTAGCATCAGTGTACACACCTGGTCTCACAGACCCCTCTGCTTGCAGTTTCCTTAATACAATTTCCCCTATTAATTTCGATCAAAGGAATGTACCGGAAAAAAGATGGATATTATTTTCAATAATGAGATATATTTTGAAATACTTTTGTGTAGTGTTTTTTAGCCAAATTAACAAAACTGAAAAAATGAAATAAGCTGAAATATTATTTTCATTATATTTGGTATATTTTACATATCTGACAACTTTCCTTCATTGCGTGCATTTTCACTGTTAGTGAATGTTCCAAACAAATAAAGTTTTTGCATAATTGCCACTAATATTTTGTTAAGTTGCGTATAGTACTGAATGAAAGCTGTTGCATGAGTGCATGCACGTGTCTCTGAGGCCCGTGCAACGTTTTGGAATGTCTTACCGCTAGAAAGGATAACAATACTCACTTTCTCAAAAGAGTGTGACTCATATCAATGGAAGGAAAATGTACCTGGAAGCAGTCGTCATGTACAACTCACAGTATTAAAGTAAATGCATCCTGGGTCTCTCAGACCACTTGCGTGCACTGCTGGGTTTAACTAACAACTCTGATTAATATGTATATACATTGATATAAATGTGGAAATAAATTAACAAGGTTGGCTGTGTTAATTTCTACAGTTTTATGCACACATTTGAAATTCGTCAGTTTAATGGAAAACAAACAAACAAACAAACAAAAAAAAGTAAAGAAAATAACACATTGTGCAAGTGGATATAAAAAATCATAGTGGCGTTATCAATTTTCTATTGCTGAAAGATGATCAATTGTTGAAATATACACATTTATGAACTCTAGAAAGTTAGCCAAATTGTGTATTATGGGGTTGGTTTAATGACTGTATGGATTAGGTTATATGTTCAGCAGTTTTGCATGATTTTTTTTACTTAGTGATTTCAACTATTTTCTCAACTATTTTATAAACAAACATTTTACTGCTTGTTCTTAATTAAAGCACATTTAATGATATAAACTTGCACTTGATCTGTTGAAAATGCTTATGATTTCTTTTCTTTTCTTTCTTTTTTTTGTTATATCCTTTTACATTAGATTACACCTTCTCCTATAATTCAAGCTACACGTTAATCATTCTTGATAGGATATCCATCTTAGCTTTTACTAAATTATCCTTTTCCTCTTTTCAGAGTTTTAAGTTCATAAAAACAGGTATTTTATTTTTGGAGTATTAAATCAATAGAAACAGTTAAAGAATAACATTGGGTTTATATTCTGATACACTGACCTTAATCTAAATCAGCAGAAAATTTTCATTTCTGAAAAGTTGATTAATTTGCTCTATTTTGTTTCATCTGGTGAAAGTAATTGAAGTAAATTTGAAAGAATTTACTCTTCTTACAAGAGAAAAGATATTACATAATCTCTTTGCAATATGCAGTTATGGACCATTAATATAATTCAGTGTGAGCCCTCTTAGTGTTTTTATATATTTTCCAGCATTGCACCAGACTTTGAATGGATATTCAGATACTGAATTTATAAATTCAGAGTAAAGGTAAGAATAGTGTATTTGAGAGATGGTCTGTTGCATTTTTTATTGCAATAAATGGTCTAAAAGTACTGCTTCAAGATACAATCTTCCTAAAACATTTTTACAACTGTGTGTGTGTACATTCAAAAATCATTAAAATATGGAGTCCCCAAAAGAAATATTTAACTAATTAAAAAAGAAATTGATACCTGTTACACGCAGTTCATGAACATTTTTATAAAATCGTGTCATTTGCAAAATTCTGTGGCTTCTGCTTTATTTAGTTCCTTTTGGCTTTAATTTTGGAAGTTTTGAGCAAAGATTTTGAGACATTGCTATATACATTGTACAGGAGAAATAATATGATGCAATGCTTATAATGTTTTTCAAGGCAAGGCTCATCTGAAATGAAAAGTATAGTATAATTATTAATTTATTTAAATAATGATAGGTACTGGCAATGAACATCTGAGATGAAAATTTAAAGAATTTGTTTACTATTGACATACTTGAAAATGGCCCAAAAGTGTTTCACACTCAGATTCTTCAAACAAATGGCAAATATGATATAATGAAATTCTAATTGATTTCAAAATCTTTCACACGAAGAGTTCTGAAGTTGAAATTAACTTTCAGCATAAATAAAAATTAACTATTATTTTGTGTTACACCTCTTCTTTTCATAACCGTTCCTTTAATTTCAAAGAAAATTTTTTATTCTTCGATATTACATTTTAGGTTTCTTTAAATTTTTAACAATTTATAAATTTGAATATTCTGAAAGATAAACTTCTTTTTTAAATATTTTTTCTTGCATTAATTTAGCATTTTAATTTTGAAAATTATAACTTGTAGAGATTATTGTATTTGCAAGATAGTTATATTATTGTCAAGAATTTTCTTATAAAATCTCATAAAATTAAATAAAAATTATAAACAATATTTAATAGGAATTGTCTTAAAATATTTGTTCTAAATGTGAACACTTTTTTTTTATCAAATTAAACATGGATTATTGAACTGCATTTGCTGCATTTGCAAGAAATTGGTCTGTAATAAAATGAATATGTATATATCCCCAAGTTTAAATTTGTTAAAAGTAATATTTATCTCCTTGATTTTTATAATTGTGGCTTTTATACTTTGTGGAGTAAAATAAATTAATCATTCTACAGCTTTCTTTGATTTAAAAATGGAATATAAAGTGATTGTAGTAATTCATTGTGTTGTGCTGTGCTGTAATGCAAGCATGTATTTTCCTTGCTCTTTGTTTTACCGAGTAACACGTAATATTATTTAATGTGTATCTTTAAGAAATCTTTATGAATTATGAAAATGATTAATATTTTACCCATGCCTTTCTAATGCTTAAAAACTAACAAATGCAATGAGGCTTTTGTGCATAGCGAAATTGTTTGATTTTGAGTGCAAGTTAATTATGTAAAAGGTTGTGTTTGGTTTTACGTTTTTACTAACAATGTATTTAACACTTGCTTCCCTTTCAGGTGCCGTACTGCGCCCAACTGGTGAGCAATCTCGCGTGTTGTGTGCATCGGTAAATCACGTGAATCCTACACTTCCTTTTTATTAATTTTATATGAACTTTGTGTATCTGTACACATTCTTTTCTTTTATCTCAGGGTTGTAAATTCTCATTCTAATATCCAATTAATAACTAATATATTTTCAAAATAGTATTTCAATTAACATAATGTTTTGCTACTTATTTACATTCAAAACAAAATATTTCATTATAAAAAATATTATTATAAGAAATATTCTAATATATGTTATGAATACCTTAAGGTAAATTATAATAATCCTTAATGAAACTAGTTATCTAAATTGGAATGAGAAATTATAATTTCCTTGATGTTGTTTTGTCTGTGTTTCACTAATATGCGTCCTTTACTTCATTATAGTTTGTTTCATAAACTCACCTTTTGTGACAGGTG